ATTGTTTACTGTAGAAAACAATATTTGGAAAAATGGTAGACAAATATGGGCTTTATAAGTTTATAGTGTTAAGTATTATACTCTTAAGGGATAAAGATGATAAGAAGGATGTACGGTAGTACTAAAATAGATAAAATAAGAATTGAAGTATATGCAATAAACCTGTCCAAAGCCAAACATCTTGGTCGGTGCGCCTCCCATATATCCTCGATTTGCATGTCAAACTCTGATCAACCCTTGTCTCTCATTTTTCATACGGTCCCACGTGTCCATGAATCGATTCACAATTGCATCATCTACCAAACTTAAAAATGGATTTTTCATAGTGGACCCCAAATGTTCGGGGAACAATACTTTGTTATCATTGTTGTACAGATCGAGAACCTTGCAAACAAATAAATGCAATGCCTGTTGAACTTCGCAAAAACGAAACTACAACTTCCGTTTGATGCCTTTTGTAACACGCATTGCGCGTTGCTGTATCCCTTCTACTTTGCAATAACATCGAAGTCCGTAACATACGCCTGAATGTGGTGGAAGGCAGTTTCTATTGTAGTGTGGCTCTCTCCTCTCTCTCTCTCACACACACACTATTGAGTTTTCATGTGCATACTTCTTGAGAGTTATTATATATTTATATATACAATCTTGCTATATGTACCCCTTGGTGTACACGTTGTTTTACCCGACCCCACCCCCTCCCTCGCATGGGGGTCGGGTAAAACAACATGTACACCAAAAAGAGTACAAATAGCATAATTCTTATATATATTAACTGCATGCAGAGACTGTACAGACTTGGGGCTCGAAGGGTTTTAGTGACGGGCACAGGGCCATTAGGATGTGTGCCAGCAGAATTGGCATATTACAGTAGGAATGGGGAATGTGCAGAGGAATTGCAACTTGCTGCATCTCTTTTCAACCCACAATTGGTTCAGATGATTGACAAACTCAACACAGAAATAGGTCACATTGCCTTCATTGCAGCCAACACCAATCAAATGAACATGGATTTCATCTCAAATCCTCGAGCTTTTGGTATATATATTTGTCAACTTTATATATCTCTATTCTCTGTTATAGGGAAAATCTGCATCGATCGACCTCAACTTATTATTCGTATGCAAGCTTTGAAAAGAAGAAAACTAGTTCCCAACCACAAAGTTTATTCATTTTGATACTTATTTATCAAGTTATAATAAGTAAACATGTATCAAATTAACTTATTTCGACAATACTTGACTACAAGATTTTAAGTATTTTTTTTTTTTTGTAATACAATTAGAACTCCAAGAGTGAAGACTAAAATTGACACATAAGAGAAATTGTAAACAAACATTTGCATTTTTTGCCCGTTGTGTGCAATATTCGATTAGATTCGACGTTGCAAAAATAATTTCTACCTTTTTATTCTTTAACGCTCTATAGTACTGTAAATCGAGCTTCCTCATGATGACTTTGAAATAAGCTCGATGACTTTGAAAAAATATATGGGCATGCAGGATTTACAACATCGAAGATAGCTTGTTGCGGACAAGGACCGTATAACGGCGTAGGCCTTTGCACAGCCGTATCAAATTTGTGCCCAAATAGAGATGAATACGTGTTTTGGGACCCTTTCCATCCCTCTGAAAGGGCTAATAGACTCATTGTACAACAAATTCTGACAGGTTCAAACGCTTATATGCACCCCATGAACCTCAATACTATCATGGCATTGGATTCAAGGGCATGATTTTACCCTACAAATTAATCAACTCTTTGTATTTGGTAGCATAAAATCTTAGCTCCCAAATGTGACCTAGGTTTATTCAGCTTCTTGATGTTTTAATTGTATTCTCCTTTTGTATTTTCAAAGCATTGTTAAAATATAACATTTCTGAGTTGCGTTGTATTTAGATTGTTTGTTCTAGCATTTTTCCGAGGATGCAAGGTAGTTTTATCGATTTACTTGAATAGTTTCTATTTATATCTCGACCATCAAGAACACGATCATTCTTTAAAACAATTATACTATATCTCGAAGGGAGAATCGAATAGTTTTGAACAATATTAACAGACAATAAAAAGTTACAACCTTATTCATTACACTGCTCAATTTTTTCTAATAATGCATATAAAACATGCATCGAAAATACATGAATTAGAAATGAAATTTCATTCAATAACTGACATCCTTGTGCTGAATCATCTCTAGATTTTAATCATCTATTGAGATTGTGTCACTACTCATTTACAACAAATATTGTGCACGTTAAAAAAAGTATTAAAATACATTATATTTTTTTTAGCATTTTGAAATTTTAAATAAATAATACTTTTTGTTACACCGCTGTCGGTTGGACTCAAATTTTAATAAAATAGTCATAACATAAAAAATTTCTCAAAAAATGTCTTGAGGCTGAGAGTCTCTCGGTGATAAAACTAACACCAACCATTCAATTTCACTTCCTGACTTCTACATTTATCTCCAAAAAAAATACACGCAGACACATACACACTGACGCATGGACTCCATCAACTGCACAGCCACTGATCTCCTCCCCTCCTAGGCGGAGCCACCAATGCCACGGTGGCGGCAGACTTCATCTGCCGCCGATTTGAGGCGGTCTCCACCAAACTCACCGAAGCCAACTATGCCATTGACAATACATATCTCTTATTCTCTGCCTACTTAGTCTTTGCCATGCAACTTGGCTTCGCCATGCTGTGTGCTGGCTCTGTACGTGCAAAAAACACCATGAATATAATGCTTACCAACGTTCTTGACGCCGCGGCCGGGGGCTTATCCTATTATCTTTTCGGGTTTGCCTTTGCATTTGGTGCACCATCTAATGGATTCATTGGCCACCATGAATTTGGGCTCAAGAACTTCCCCACTTCTTCATTTGATTACAGCTATTTTCTCTATC